ATATATATATATATATATATATATATATATATATATATATATATATATATATATTTCAGCTATATATACACTATATGCTTGCTTGCAAATATCTACAAGCCATTAATAATTATATTCCTTCTCCAATAGAGCTATGGTTCTCATCTTCTTCCTCAACAATGCCACCATTTTCTTCTTCCTCTTCCTCTCACTCCTATTCGTTACTCGATGGACGAACAAATCGAAATCGAAATCCAACGGGGGCCCGCGGAACCTCCCACCGGGCCCACCGAAGCTTCCGTTGATCGGCCACGTCCACCTCCTCGGAACACTCCCGTTCCGTTCGTTCCAAACCCTAGCCAAAACCTACGGCGACATCATGCATTTCAAGCTCGGCGAAGTCTCCGCCATCGTCATATCTTCGCCGGAGATTGCAAAGGAAGCGCTGAAAACCCGCGACCCCAACTTCGCCGACCGGCCGGACAGCGTCGCCGCCAAGATCATGTGGTACGATTATAAGGACATAGCTTTCAGCTCTTACAGCGAGTACTGGCGCCAAATGCGCAAAATATGCATAATCGAATTGTTGAGCGCCAAAAATGTCCGATCGTTCGCCTCGATAAGAAACGAGGAAATATCGAGCCTCGTGGAGTCGATTAGTTCGTCTAACGGAGACGTGATTGATATCACCGAGAAGATTTTCAAAGTGACGAGCTCGATAACTTGTAGGGCCGCGTACGGTAAGGTTTGTAGAGATAGAGATGCCTTGATCAAGGTTATGAACGAGGCGTTGCTTTTTACGGGAGGGTTTATGGTGGCGGATCTTTTCCCGTCTTCGAAGGTGTTGAGTGTTTTGAGCTGGAACAAGCATCGGTTGTGGCGGATGAGGCGGAAGCTCGATGTGATTCTTGATGACATCATCGACGAGCATAAAGTTAATTTAGCGCGTTTTAAGGAAGAGTCGTTGTCGGAGAATGGTGACGTGGCGAGGAAGGGGAATGGAGAAAGCGGCAACGAGGATCTAGTTGATGTTCTACTGAGGATTCAGGAGAAGGGAGAGCTCGAGTTTCCGATCGAAAACGACAATATCAAAGCCATCATTTATGTAAGTACTTCTTCGATCTCCTAAATATTTCAAGTAAATTACAATGTAAAGTCGGGGTGAAAATTCAAACGGCATTTCCGAATTCCACCAATTCCGATGTGAATATTTCCGATTTTTTTTTTGGAAAAGTATTTTTCATTCTGAATTCCGACATATCCGATTTCCGATTTTTTGGATTTTTTAGAAAGAAATGACATATTAGATTCCAATTCCCGATCGGATTTTAATTTTCCAAAAAAATTCCAAAAATTCCGATGTTTTTCGAAAACTAGAGTTACAATAGCAATATTATTATATGTAAAATATAATATAGGTGGCTAAAAAATGGGAATTTTGAATTACGATTCCGATCTGAAAATTTCTGATTTTGGAACTGAGTTTTCTAATTCCAATTTCCGAAATTCTGATTTTCGATTTTTCCGTTTTTTTTTTATGGAATTAAAGTTAGTTTTTTCCACTTCCGAAACAAATGGAATTTTCTGAAAGTGCTAATTCTTATCCGATCTCATTTGCACCCCTAATTTCAAACAACCTAAACTCTTGTGTATAGAGAGAAATTGCATGTACCAAATCACAATTCATTTTAGACGATAACGTGTAGCTTAATTCCCTTACCGGACGGGGTTTTATACCGTTTATCTGAGTATTTATGCAGCCCCCTTAGTTATTTAGTGTTTGAAAAAAATACTTAACTAGTTGCATCATGTCTTCGTTTCTCAACCAGGACATGTTCTCAGCCGCAACCGAAACTTCGTCATCGACAATCGATTGGGCAATGGTGGAGCTAATGCGGAACCCACGCGTAAGAGCAAAGGCACAAGCCGAAGTAAGAAACGTCTTCAAAGACGGCCAAAAAATCGACGAAGCCGAAGCTTCAAAACTAAAGTACCTAAAGCTCGTGGTCAAAGAAGCCCTAAGGCTACACCCCGCAACTCCGTTACTCTCGCGGGCATCGAGAGAAGACAGCGAAATCAACGGCTACTTTATCCCCGCAAAAACCAAAGTCCTCGTCAATAATTGGGGCATGGGAAGAAATTCCAAATATTTTCCGAACGCGGAAAACTTCGAACCAGAGAGGTTCGAGAATAACGGGATTGATTTCAACGGAGCTAATTTTGAGTATCTACCGTTTGGGGCGGGTAAGAGAATGTGCCCCGGTATGACGTTTGGATTGGCGAGCGTTGAGCTTCCTTTGGCGCATTTGTTGTACCATTTCGACTGGAAGCTTCCGGAAGGAATGAAGCCGAGTGATTTGGAAATGCTCGAGAATCCGGGAATAAGTGCACCGAGAAAACACCATCTTCGCTTAGTTGCCACTCCCTATAGACCTAATTCTTGCAATTAGACAAGTTATATTACATCTCTAAATAAAATTTGATGGTGTTCATCAATTTCCGAATAATATAATAATGAATGAATAAACGAGTGTTCGACATTTTTAGCACTCTCTGGCAGTAAGTCCAGGAATATGATACATGGTGGGGCTTAAATTTTTGGGGGTACAGGGACAGCGCCACTGGAAAAAAATTTAGGACTTTTTTATGACAAAATCAAAAAATAGAAAAAAAAAAGGGGCTTTTTGCATAATTATGAATTTTGGGTAAACTAATTAATAATAATTGAGACTTTTTTTCATTAATTTGAACTTTGGGTGGGCTTAATCGATATATAGGTATAATTTGGAGTAAATTTTGTAATTTAAGGATGGACTTGAGTCCACCCTCCCAAAAGGATGGACTCGCCCCGACTGTACATCCAATCCTTGTAATCGTAGCATTGTGTTAAGTTCTTAATATAATATTATTTTTTCATGTTAAAAAAAACCCAGATAAATACATGAATTATGACGTAGAACGAAAGCACGATAAATAATTAATTTCTACGAATTAATTCTATAGAACAAAATAACATTCGGAATCCACCGAAAATTCTGGAATCCACCAGAAAAATAGAGAAAACTCTAAATATTTTATTAAAATTCGATTTTTTTTTTAGAGAAAACTCTAAATATTTCATTAAAATTCGAAATTTTTCTTCAAAATAAAGTCCTAAGGCAGCTATTTATACTAAAAAGCTGAAAACCCTAATTAAACTAAGAAATTACTAAAAATTACAAAAAACGGCAAAAACGAGTTAAATCCTAATTCCAGTATATCTCGTAATTTTGGGAACAACCCAATTTACGGAATCCTAATCCGATTTTTCTATGATTTGATATTAATTTTCTAAAACTTACCTAAAATAGCAAAAACGAACTTTTAAGAGTCTAAACGACGTTGGATTGCTGAAATTTAACGTGATTCATGAGCTTTGCTCATGAGTTTTGTTTCTTGCGCCGTTTCACTTGAGATAGAGTTCGTTTCGTACTCAAATACAATGTGAGTTCGTTGAAAACCCTTATTTTTCCATAATTTCTTTCGATATCTCCACCGATGCCCATTAATAACTCTTCTCCGAATTAAATAGTTATTTTGCAATTCGAATCCAATTTGAGGTTCCTTATCAAATTATTCAACCATCATGATGATGCTAAAATGTAGATCACCTGGGGTAGAGTAGAAAACGAGCTGGGAGAGCAAAACGGATCAGTAGTTCGTCAACTCGATGATCCTGAGGTCCCTGCGAAATGAGCACACGTGAACTACGCCGGGGGTTGATCCGGCGGAAACCCCTCCGACGCTCAAGTTAGACGTGCTGATAGTGGAAATAGTCCAGAGAATACAGTTGATAGTATTACTCAGTTAATAGGACGTACCTTATGGAATGAGTTCAAATGTGTATTTATAGCTTAGTTGAGATTGTCGGGCCCGAACCTTGCTTGAAGGTGATTGGGCCTCGGTGATAGTGGTCTTCGATATTGGGCTCGTGGCCCAGTAGGTAATTAATTTGTAGGCCCATTGGGTTGGGCCAATTAGGCATATCATTAAGCCCCCCACTCTCGAGTCGATGTGGGCCATGTTGAAATGGGTGACATATCGTGTCGAGAGTAAAAATTGTAGTAGTCGATGGTGTGCGATAACGCGTTGGAGCGTGTGTCGGAGGGGCGTGAATGCGCATTGGTGCATAGCGCGACCAAGTTGTCGCGATGTAAGTTAATTGAATCGTCGGTTTTGTCCCGCGACGATGTAGTAGCGAATTATCTCCTCGTGGGAGTTGTCTCGTCGCGGGGTAATAGTGTTGATCGAGTTATCTCCTCGTGGGAGTTGTCTCACGATAATGTAGTACCACGGATCAAGTAATCTCCTCGTGGGAGTTGTCTCTGGGGTAATAGAGTTGATCGAGTTATGTCATCGTGGAAGTTGTCTCACGACAATGTAGTAGCACGGAGCTAGTATTCTCCTCGTGGGAGTTGTTATTTTTCGACATTGTCAATGTTTTGACGCGTTGCTTATATGTGTTTACATATAGCCTTATGCGTGATATACTTGAGGAGGGGATCAGACTCTCAAGAATTTTTTATGGGGGTCGTGCCCCTTGTTAGACCTCGTGGGTCTTAAGTATGTTTGGACCGTGGCCACGTTTTAATGAATGACCCATCGAAAACAAGTAGATAAATTTGAGTAATCAAGCTGGCCAGGCTATATAGATTCTCATAATATCTCTAAGTGCTTCTAGGGTTGTAATTGTGCTAACTTGAGCTTGCGATTATATAGTGAATTTCGGGCGAGTTGTCTCTTCATGGGAGTTGTCTCGCGGTGAGTAATATTATCGAGCGAGGTGGTTGCACGTGGGAGTTGCCTTGCAACAGATTTGTAGTATCGAGCGAGTTGGCTCCTCGTGGGAGTTGTCTCGCTGCGGGTTGTGGTACCGAGCGAGTTGGCTCCGCCTGTTCAAGCACTTCTTACAAAGCGCAGCCCGAGAATGGTTACAAACTCGCGCACCGCACTCCATCTCATCTTGGGCCCAGCTAGCACAACTTTTCATGAATACATACAACTCCCCAACAAAAACTGAGAGAATCCGAAGAGAAATTCAAAATTTCATACAAGAAGCCGGTGAAGCATTATTCGAAACGTGGGAGCGGTTCAAACAGTTAGTAAGGAGGTGCCCCAATCACGGACTGCAAGAGTGGCGCCAACTGCAAATATTTTACGATGGATTGCAAGACAATTCGAGAACCGTGCTCGACTCTGCAGCTGGAGGTATGTTCATGAGTTTGACCTACGACGAAGCATACGAGCTCTTGGAACGAATCGCTAGAAATAAATACATGCGGGCATCGGACCGGTCGAATAGCGGAGCAGTCAAGACGGGATGAAATTTTGGAGTTAGATGGGGTCACTGCAATCACGGCCCAATTGGAGAAGCTATCGAAGCAAGTAGCGGCTTTGCAGACTCAGCAATGCAAGTCCACGCAGTCCAAGTTCCCGACCAGCGCGTAGAAGAAACGGAGTCTCTGAATTATGTGCATGACACCAACCGGCAACAGAGGAACCCGTACTCCAACACGTATAATCCGGGATGGAAGGATCACCCTAACTTTGGGTGGGGAGGAAATCAGCAAGGACAAAGGCAAGCACCACCTCAAGGTCAACAGCCTAATTATTCACGACCAGCTCCCGGATTCCAAAATCTGCCTCAAGCTCAACCTCAAGGTGGAGATCTCGCAAATATCTTGGCGCAATTTATGACAACCACCCAAGCCTCCATCCGAAATTTGGAAACACAAATGGGTCAACTTGCAACCCAGCTAACCGCGAGACCATCGGGAGCACTGCCGTCAAATACAGAAGATCCTCGGAAGAACAACGTCGAGCAGTGCAACGCTGTGAGTTTAAGGAATGGGAGACAATTGGAGGAAGCCCCACGAAAAGAGAAGCAAAATACGGTGAGTGAGAAGCCGAGCGTGATTGAGGAAAAAGAAGCAACTCACGAAAAACCACTATCATCCCCAGTGAAATCACGAGCCCCTCCAATTCCATATCCTCAGAAGCTTATAAAGAAGAAGCTCGATGCCGATTATCAAAGATTTTTGGACAAACTGAAGGAAATCCAAATAAATATCCCGTTTATTGAAGCCCTTCAAAAGATGCCAAAGTGGGTGAAGTTCCTCAAGGATCTCGTGACAAAGAGGAAGAAATTGCAAGGGAACGAGATGATCCAACTCACGGAACAATGTAGTGCAATTCTTACACGGCCCCTTCCACAAAAACTCGGCGATCTAGGTAAGTTCACTATCCCTTGTACTATAGGAGGTAAAAATTTTAGATCACTTATTGATTTAGGTGCTAGCATTAATCTTATGCCTTATTCCACTTATAAAAATCTTGGGTTAGGTGAGATTGAACCTACAGCTATAACTCTTCAATTAGCCGATAGGTCTTTGGTTTACCCAAAATGTATTTTAGAGAATGTGCTAGTAAAGGTGAACAAATTTATCTTCCCGGTTGATTTTGTTGTACTCGATATAGATGAAGATAGGGAGATACCTCTTATTTTAGGGAGACCGTTTTTAGCCACTTCGAAAACTCTAATTGATTGTGCTAGTGGTGATCTTACAATGACGGTGCATGATGAAACGATCAAGTTTAATGTTTTTTGTGCTAGTAAAAATCCATGTGAGAATAATGAGTGCTTTACTATTGAGCTTATGGATTTTACAAATCATGAAAAATTTGATGTTTCAATTTTGGACCATGGGAAAGCATCGTTGAGTGCAGGAGATGACGACAGAAAATGGAATCGGAAGGAACACATTTATTGTGCGGACTCAAGTTCCACTCCTCCGAGAGATAGTCAAAAGAGTTGGGGTGCCAACGGTGATGAACGTGCAAGGAGGATGTGGCCACCTAAAGAATCAAACGAGCATCATCGGGGAGAGGAATTCAATCGCCAAGTGACTTCGGTCACGTTAGCTTGAACAAAGAAGCAGACAAAGTTCGGCTGAAGACTGTAAACTTAACGCTTCTCCGGAGGCAACCCGAGATTTCGTTTTTTTTCTTTATTTTATTTTATTTTATTTTATTTTTTGTTTATTTTGTTGGTTGTTAGTTTTATTTTATTTTAACTAAAAAAAAAAAGTTTTAGGGGCACTAATAAGAAGTTTGTATTTTTCAGGGACCTAATTGCAATTATTCACACGGCCGTGCAAGAAAAAGGAAGGAATCTCACACGGCCGTGTGAGATTTCGGTGAGGCTACTGTATAAAATCGCAAATTGGTGCGGCCGTGCGGATTCCAGGCTTAAATCTCGCACGGCCGCCCGAGAATTAAAGGAGCTACTGCCCAAAATCGATAATTGGCGCGACCGTGCGGATTCCAGGCTTAAATCCCGCACGGCCGTCCAAAACTAAAAAAACGGGCAGATTTAAAGAGGGGTTTCCACACCCCAATTTTCACAATTTCAAATCCCCCCACCCCTCCTTCAAACCCTTGTCTTCCTCTTTCGAATTTTTTTCTTTTCTTTGCCAAATTTCACCGAAAATTCACCAATTAT